TTTTCTCTTTCTTGGCATCCAGATTTGTGGGTGTACTTGTGGGTGTGCGGGTGGCGCACTTTCTGCATGCCACCATGGACCCCTGATGCTCTGGGAGGCTGGGTAGAACCACATCTGTAGCTCTCCAGATGTTGCCAGACTGCAGTTCCCAGCATGCCTCGCCTTATTATTATTATTATTATTATTATTATTATTATTATTATTATTATTATTAGCTTTATTTATTAAGCGCCATAGATGTACACGGCGCTGTACAAAACCAAATAAAATCCAGAATATATAAAAAGCCTGCCTGTGGCATACAATCTAAAAGTAAAACAACAAATTAAAACATCAAGAAAAACAAGTTAAAACATCACATATCCAATATTAGATCACGCATCATTTAGCTGTGCTGGCTATGAGGCTGATGGGAACAACAGTCCATCAACATCTGGATGGCCAAATGATTCCCACCCTTGGCCTAAACTGTAGGAAATGGGAACGTGTTTTCACACTTTTCACACTATGCATTCATACCATGGCTCCCCCCTATGGACCTCTGGGATTTGTAGTTCATCAAGTCACTGCAGTGCTCTGATAATTCAAGATCAGCCCCCCAAACTACAAATCCTAGGATTCCATAGGATGCAGCCGCCACAGTTGATCTGGAATCATAGTACTGTACTATAATTGTGTAGTGGAACCCATGGCTGCGTTCTAGGTGTTTCTGGGATTAGTAGTTTAAGGAGGCAACTAGAGCTTTCTAGCAGAGAATTTTATATAACCTCCTTCAACTACAAATCCCAGTGTTATAACTGAATAGTTTGAAAGGGATCACAGAAGCATAACAGTTATGTTGCAAGACACTGCTGTAGTACAGTATATTGTATATATTATTGTAGATATTTACACAATGTAGATTTTGAGAAAGTATAACAAGAATGGGAAACATTCAGCTCTTGAGATGTTTTCAGGCTATAATTCCCACTACAGGGTCTGCTGGCTAGGGCTGCTGGGAGCTGCAATCCATGCAACCCCCATATCTGATCTAGTATGATCTCTGCAATTCAGTGGAGCAACCATGAACCATCATCCCAGCAGAGAAACCCATTCACTTTCCCCAGTAATTTTGACTGGGTTTTCCAAACCTAAACGCAGTAAAGGTGCTATGTATCATCATGCTATGAGCACATCTTGGCCCAGGTAAGCCAAAATTGCAAACTTGCCAGTTAGTAGCGCTTGCAAATTTGCACTTAGGAGTGCAGGGATCATAAGTCAAGGCTGTAGTAAAGAATCCCAGTAGCTCATATTCCTGGTGTGTATGGGAGCCCTTGTGATGTAGTAGTTTGCACATTGGACCATGACTCTGGAGACCAGGGTTTGATTCCCAGCTCAACTATGAAACTTACAGGGTGATCTTGGGCAAGTCACGCTTTCTCAGCTTCAGGGGAAGGCAATGGCAAACCTCCTCTGAAGAAATCTTGCCAAGAAAACTCCATGATAGGTTTGCCTTAGGGTTGCCATAAGTCGGAAATGAAGGCACACAGCAAATGTGGCGTTGTTTAGCATCCCAAAAGAAGGGCCGGAGGGAGAGAGACCAGTCAAGTGTTTACACTGCTCTGACATATGCATCTTGTTATCTACTACCATTGATAAATGCTGGAGTTACATAATGCTCTCTGCACATGACCAGAGGACCTTTCCTAGGTCTAAAGCTAACAGGAATGTGTCAAATTGATTCCAGAACCGATCTGACAGGTCCCATATCTCATCTCTTTCCTTGAGCCTTAGAGCTCTCAGGCTGCATCTGCATGGCAGAAACCATCTGGTTTGACACCACTTTGACTGTCATGGCTCCATGCTATGGAATTCTGGGAACTGCCATTCTGTGGGATATTTATCCTTTTCCCCTAGAGAGCTCTGCTGCTGCAACAAACTACAGTTCCCAGAATTCCATAGCACGGAGCCATGGCAGTTAAAGTGGTGTCAAACCAGATGATTTCTGCCATGCAAATGCAGCCTCAGGCACATCTTCATTGGGGATTTGCTGCACGGGCAAAAAGGGGCTGGATGAGATGACCTTTGGGGATCTCTTCCAACTTCTGTGATCTTTCCAAGACAAGGAGACCACTCCAGGTGGCACAAGCTTCCTTGCCGGCTCTCCTTCGGAGCAGATGGGCCCTGGTGGCCTCTCTTCCGCCCTGCCATGGATCCAGCATCATCCCCCCATTCCCTGGGGAGACATCCTTCCCCTCTCCAGATGCCTCGGGCAATGCCCAGCTGTCAGACCAGGCTCTGAGCCGAATCACCACCAGCCAGTCCTGAGATTGGCATGTTGACTTGGCTCACTTGGCTGCTACCCATCAGACAAATCGAAGACATTTGGATGCCCGAGGCATATAATCCCCACACCGGCTGCTCTCTAATGGGGAAAGGAGATCAGCATCCAAAAAGTTCTGGAAGCCAAAAAGAGAGAGAGCAAATACTTGTCAGTGGTCCTTGGGGAGAAGAAATGCCAGGCAGTGGGCACAGATGGATGACTCCCATGTCAGCAGGACAGTGAATCCACTCTGGATTTTAGTATATATGTATGTATGTATGTATGTATGTATTATTATTATTATTATTATTATTATTATTTCTTACCCACCTCTCCCCATGGATCGCAGTGAGGGGAAAACAACAATTAATAGTCACACCACATCAGTTACAACACATCAGTTAAGATCAGATCTCCACGTATTAAAACAATCCACATTTAAAATCCATCATTTAAAATTTACAATCTGGATAAGCCTGCCAGAAGAGATTGGTCTTCAATGCTGTTTTGAATGCAGACAGCGTATTCAGCTGTCGAATCTCTTCCGGCAGGTCGTTCCACACTTTTGGGGCGGCTGAAGAAAAAGTCCTCTGGGTGACATTTGCCAAGCTAGTCCTGGCAGACTGGAGGAAATGTCCGCCAGAGGAGCCGAGTGTACAGGCAGATTATACGGGGAAGAGGCGATCCCGTAGGTAACCTGGACCCAAACCATGGAAGGTTTTAAAGGTATCATATATACTCAACTATAAGCCGAGAAATTTATATTCCAAAATTGACCCTAAAATCCTGGGTCGACTTGTATATGAGTCAAAACAGGAAGGAATACATCTCAGAAAGATCCTAAAAGAAGCATCACCTCATTCTGAAAGAGCTGCCAGGCAGGAGTGTGTGTGTGTTTTGTGTGGCAATTCACTTTTCTCTTTTCAATCCGATGGAAAACCCTTCTCTTCCATCCTTCCTTCTCCCTCTGGATTATCCCTGCCCACCAAGCACCATATATCCTTCTTTCCTTCCCAGTTCCATGGAAAACCTTTCTCCCATCAAGGACTACATAGCCCTCCAGCTGTTTTTATTTAATGCATGTTAAGAGGGGTGTCTCCTGGGTTTGGCACTGAATGGGCCAGACATCAGCCAAACTGTTTGCTCCCGATTCGGGGTTTGGGCCCTGCATCATATTGAGAGGATGGCAGGAGGCAATTTTATTTGGCCCATACCAAAGATGTCTGCTTGATTAACTAGGATATGCCCAGTTAACTATGGCTGCCTCCGCACGGCAGAGTCCTGGTGCTACGACCAACTACAATTCCCAGAATTCCATAGCATTCAGCCATGACAGTTCATCAAGTGGTGTCAAAACAAATTATTTCTGCAGCGCGGAGGCAGCCTATGTTATACATCCCTCAAGCATATAAAACGCACCTCTACGGTGAATCTGTGTTTTGGGCCAAAGCTTTGACTTCTGTGCCACTTGGAGGCTTTCTTTTTCTGAGCTATGAGAGAAACAAAAGAAGCATGCCATACCTGTCAGCCATTCTGTGAAATCCCTACTGAATTGAATCAAGGGGATTTACAGGCATTTGTCAGCCAGCATGGCGTAGTGGTTTGAGTATTGGATTATGACTCTGGAGACCAGGGTTCGAATCCCTGCTCAACCATGGAAACCTGCTGGATGACCTTGGGCATGTTACACTCTCTCAGCCTCAGAGGAAGGCAATTACAAACCCTCTCTGAAGAAGCTTGCCAGGAAAACCCCAGGATAGGGTTGCCTTAGGGTTGCCATAAGTCAGAACTTATCAGCACAAAACAACAACAACAAACAGCTATTTGGGAACTAATTTCTTTGACATGTAAAGGCTTTCTGTGCTAATATGCTGTGCTCCTTTCTAATCTATGTTATAAATGGTTTTAATACTATGGATAGTTCAATGCTGTTTCAATCTTGATTTTTTTTTAAATGTGTTTAGCTACATGTCCTTAATTCGTATTATTATGAATCTGTAAGCTGCTTTCAGTCCCAGGCATGGAGGAAAATGCAGTATAAATAAATGGTGTGTATACACTACAGAAACAAAGCAGTTTGCACTACTTTAACTACCATGGCTCAATGCTATGGAGTTCTGGGATCTGTGGCTTTGTGAGATATTTAGACTTCCCTGTCAGAGAGCTCTCATGCCACAACAAACTACAGATCCCAGGATTCCATAGGATGGAGCCACTGAGGTTAAAGTGGTGTTAAACTGGTTTATTTCTGCAGTGTGTCAACAGACAGAGGGAGGGATGGATGAGCGGATGAATAGATGGATGAGAAGATAGATGAATATGTGGATGGATGGATGGATGAGCAAATGAATAGATGGAAGAGTAGATGGGTGGATAAATGGCTGAATAGATGGATGAGTAGATGGATGACTGGGTGGATGAGTGGATGGATGGATGGATGAATAGATGGAAGAGTAGATGGGTGGATAAATGGATGAGTAGATGGGGAATGGATGGATGGATGAATGGATGGATGGATGAGTGGATGGATGGATGGGTAGATTAGTGGATGGATGGATGGATGGATGGATGGATAGATAGATCAGAGGTAAGCAACCTTTCCCCTTTAAGGGGCGAGGGACTTCAGCTCCCAGAATCCCAGGAGCTATTGGCCAACATGGGACTATTGGCCAACATGGCTGAGGCTTCTGGGAGCTGAAGTCCCTCGGCCCTTAAAGGGGAAAGGTTGCCTACCCCTGAGATAGATGGATGGATGGATTTACACAAGTGTTGATTTGCCACTCAACAGTTGAATCTACTCTTCTGTAACAATATCTAACAATAGGATCCATTGTGTTCAGTTTAGCCTGCAGGGATTTCCCCCCCCTTCTTTCCCCAATTATTATTTTCTTGACACAGAGAACTTAGCTTGGCTTTTTGTCAGAGGAACAGCACCGCCATCTGCGTGCCTCTCCACACAGCCTGTACGGCACCATTTGCCCAACAACGCGTCTTTGCCAGCCATGGTTTAGCAGTCTGTACCCCACCGTTGCCAGAAGAGCCATCGTTTTAACCTGGCCTCCTTCTTTTTCTCTTGTGCCTTCACAGGGGTTCGTGTCTCCCATCAAGCGGCTGGTTTTCCCAAAGGCGGCCCGAAAGCAGGCCCTCAGGACAAGCATCTGCCGCCGTCCTTTGCACTCGGTACCGCTCCATCCTCCAGATTATCTGATTGACCCTCAGATTCTCCTACATGACTATGTGGAAAAAGAAGTGAAGGTGAGGGGAACAGAAGAGACCTATGTATTATTTAGCATTATTTATTTATTTCATTTGTATTCTCCCAGAAGGGACCCAAGGTGACTCACAGGTAAAATCCCAGGTCTTTTGCATGATTCTCACTTGCTACCAAGAAGGGCCTAATTTAGGATTAGAATCACAGAATTATAGAATATTGGGGCTAGGAGGGGTCACAAGGGTCATTTTACACCATTTTACAGCCCATTCAGTGGCTGGGACAACCAATAAGACTGAGGCATATTTGCTAAGTTTACTATGGATTATATATTTGCAATAGTTAAATGTAGTTACAGAATAGTAGGGTGCATCTACAGTACAGGAATAATGCCGTTTAACAC